TGTTAAAGTAGCTTGCAGCTTGCACAGCTTCAGCACATCTGACAAAATGAAGGGGCCAAAAACAGACCCGCCAGGAGGGACTTTCGATCCTAAGGGGGTCCACTTTTGGGCCCCTTCTGAAATACATTTGCTTTGCGCAAGGGTCTAAAACTGGGCCCTCAACATTCTGAATCCGGTGCCTCCCTGGGAGCTTGTTTGACGCCCCAGTCAAATACTCTCTTGAATCGCGTTGTTCGAATCTAGCTACATACATCAACGTCACACATAGCAACCGCGAGTTGGCAACAAGGGCCTCGAACAGTTCAAGATTCCCGCCGCGGATGCTGTTTGTGGTAAAGTAGCTTCAAGCTTGACATTTTTCGCACATAGCAGCCTGCAAAGCTTCAGCGCATCTGACAAAATGAAGGGGCCAAAAACAGACCCGCCAGGAGGGACCACTTTCGATCCTAAGAGGGTCCACTTTTGGGCCCCTTCTGAAATACATTTGCTTTGCGCGAGCATCTAAAACTGGGCCCTCAACATTTTGAATCCGGTGCCTCCCTCAAGGCCTGTTTGACGCCCCAGTCAAATACTCTCTTGAATCGCGTTGTTCGAATCTAGCTACATACATCAACTTCACACATAGCAACCGCGAGTTGGCAACAAGGGCCTCGAACAAGGGAGGCCCCCACCGCGTCCCCAAAAAGTATACCGATTTCAGGTGCCAAAAACGAACCCTCTGGACATGGCAAGATGCTGCTCCTATAGCAACACAAAGATCAGCAAATGTGGAAACACTTCCCCTGTACATTGTCAAATTTGAAGCGTGCACACGTGCAACTTTTTCAGCGTAGGAAACAGAACCTGTATAGTATAGTTTCTTATTCACATTTATTCACACTTCCGAAAGTTGCATGTTTGCACTCTGATATTTCTCCATCTATTTTGTGGTAGCAAAATAAGAGAAATTGACCACGCTGACCACGCTGTTATTCCTTCCGAAGTGGTTTGCCTGCGACCTTATCCGCCACAATTTCTCAAATATGGGCACGTTCCCCGGCACCCTCTCCACACAATGATTCAGCAAAGTAAGATAATCATTCTTTGCAACATCTGCACACACAGACTCTGCGAACTGAACCTAGCTGCTTCACAAAAGTGTCTTCACTTTGCAGAAGCTTGCGCTTTGATCTTTGTTTCGGAGGGCAAGGGAGGGATGCCGGGTCTGTCACGTGCACTTGTGCCAGCTCAGGGGTCCAAGAGGTGGCGTTTGGACGGCTTTTATTTCTACCTGTCACAAAGAAGGGTCTGTTTTTTGGACCTAAAAAGACAAGAAAAACTAGAACTAGACACACAAATACGGGCCTCCCCAGTATCGTGCGATGTTTCTTTTCGGGTATGGCCGCCAATGGTCACATGGCACGGTCCTTCAAAAAAGTGTGTGAAAATTTTACAAGAAGGGAGTGAAAAGTCCAAAAATTGACACACATTAACTGGCACTCAGCCAGCAGTGGATTGATCGGAAAGTATTGAAAAAAAGTATCGTGCAAATGTTAATGTCCGCCCAGCTGATGAGCCACCTCTGATACTGGCCACTCAGACGGCCAACCAGAAGATGGTACAAATGTTGCTGAGTGCAAGTGCTGGCCCGCATGTCAAACCTATGTGAATGATCCTCGCTGCTACACCTGTCGACAATTGTGTCCTGACCTGCAAGGGAAGGAGGTGATTGCCCTCCAACTTGCACAAAGCGCTGGTATTACACCTATTGCCGACCTCCTGCAACAGGTACTCGAAGATGAACCAGAGCAGAGTGTATTGCAAGTGGATAGCGAGGCCCGGGGCCTGCAGGATTGTTGGCACCTGTCGGAACACGTTCATGCTTCTTTTGAAGAGGATGGATATTGTGGCATAGGAGGGGTCTTGCTTGGTGAAACTGCAAAGTTTTGGAATTATTCAGCGAAGAGGTGTCTCTCGAGCTTGTTCAAGTGATCAAGACAGAAGGTCAAGTGACCATCATGCAGGAACTGGAAATGTTAGCTCTGTTGGTGGCCGTGGAAAGTTGGTGTCCGAAGTGGACAAGCCACAGGTTCGTGGCCTTCACCGATGACAGTGAGGCCGTGAGAGGAAGCTTCCTCAAGACGTGGACTCACAATGGATCGAACAACAGACTACTTGCCAGAGTGTTTAAAGTGGAAGAGGGGTGTGGCTGCCAAGTTTGGTTGGAACGCGTACCTAGCCAACCAAATCCTTCAGATGATCTCTCGAGACACAAAACCAAAGTCTGTAATGGATTGGCGGAGAAGTAGACCTCATGAAAGCTTGGCTGAGTTGGCCATTGAATTGGGATGAAAGCGCGACCAACCCAGGCGACCGAAACCCCATTCGATGAAAAAGGAATGAATGCAGCGAAGCTGAGAGAAACCAGTTGGACGGTTTGTTCATGTTGACTGATTTTCCTATTGAATCAAAACACAGCAGGATAAGATGTCGCAGCTTAATGTTCAAGCGGTAGTACAGAAATGTTGCAGAGGCATGTTGAGGTGCGCAGCCAAGTGATGAAACAAACATAAGATGAGTCTCATGTGAAACATGATACCGCGTTTATTTTTACAAATCAGTTGTGAGTGAACCATTGAGTGAACGTCTGCACACACCACCATGTTTAGGCTGCGGCTTTTTCCTGTCACCAAGCTTCAAGTGAAGCATCCAGAAAGTGCTGGGAGAAGTTCCATGGACATGACATGTTGCATCTTGACATTGCATTCAACATGTTCAGACGTGATCCATGGATCAACCATCAACATGTTCAGTACTTTAACATGTTCAATACTGTCCCAGATTTTTCGTCCCTACCCAAGGGGCCCACCCACAGTGATGTCTGTTCACAATGATCACGATTTGCCAATTCCGGCACTACACCAGCGCGCTTCTGAATCTTCGCGAGCTCATCGCACGCACCAAGGATCAAGCACACCATCTTGCCCAGCTCCATGACGATCTTTCCTCGTTTTTGACAGAAAGCAAATATGCCCTCCATCGGGTTCTGGAACTTCAATTGCGTGCGTTGGAGTCCCTTGAGGAACATGAGAAAACTCTCATTCAAGTCATCTTTGGGACCCTGTTGCACCTTGAGACAGGCAGATTCCCGTCATGACTGGGCACAATACCCGTTGATCACGTGATGCCAATGTGTCTCATCATCAAATTTCTTCACGACCAAGTGGTCTTGCAGTCTTTCAGTTGGTCATTTTGGCTTACCCAAAGCCAAAACGCGACCAACCCAGGCGACCGAAACCCCACTCGATGAAAAAGGAATGAACGCAGCGAAACTGAGAGAAAACAGTTGGACGGTTTGTTCATGTTGACTGATTTTCCTATTGAATCAAAACGCAGCAGGATAAGATGTCGCAGCTTAATGTTCAAGCGCTAGTACAGAAATGTTGCAGAGGCATGTTGAGGTGTGCAGCCAAGTGATGAAATAAAAATAAGATGAGTCTCATGTGAAACATGATACCACCCTTATTTTTACAAATCAATTGTGAGTGAACCATTGAGTGAACCTCTGCACGCACCACCGTGTTTAGGCTGCGGCTTTTTCCTGTCACCAAACTTCAAGTGAAGCACCCAGAAAGTGCTGGGAGAAGTTCCATGGACATGACATGTTGCATCTTGACATTGCATTCAACATGTTCAGACGTGATCCATGGATCAACCATCAACATGTTCAGTACTTTAACATGTTCAATACTGTCCCAGATTTTTCGTCCCTACCCAAGGGGCCCACCCACAGTGATGTCTGTTCACAATGATCACGATTTGCCAATTCCGGCACTACACCAGCGCGCTTCTGAATCTTCGCGAGCTCATCGCACACACCAAGGATCAAACACACCATCTTGCCCAGCTCCATGACGATCTTTCCTCGTTTTTGACAGAAAGCAAATATGCCCTCCATCGGGTTCTGGAACTTCAATTGCGTGCGTTGGAGTCCCTTGAGGAACATGAGAAAACTCTCATTCAAGTCATCTTTGGGACCCTGTTGCACCTTGAGACAGGCAGATTCCCGTCATGACTGGGCACAATACCCGTTGATCACGTGATGCCAATGTGTCTCATCATCAAATTTCTTCACGACCAAGTGGTCTTGCAGTCTTTCAGTTGGTCATTTTGGCTTACCCAAAGCCAAAACGCGACCAACCCAGGCGACCGAAACCCCACTCGATGAAAAAGGAATGAATGCAGCGAAACTGAGAGAAACCAGTTGGACGGTTTGTTCATGTTGACTGATTTTCCTATTGAATCAAAACGCAGCAGGATGATAAGATGTCGCAACTTAATGTTCAAACGGTAGTACACAAATGTTGCAGAGGCATGTTGAGGCGTGCAGCCAAGTGATGAAAAAAACAGCACCTTTGTATCGCCTGGAAAAATCGGTGGAGCGCAAACTCTTGCGTGCAAGAGTTTGTGTTCTTTTGGTTGCTGTATACTGGGTCCTCCTATGTTCGCAGTGTTGACATGTTTGCCCCATCGCTGTTCTTGGAAACCTATGACCATACCAATCATAGAAACTTGTTTTATTGTTGGTGGATAAGGCATTGGTTTTGCCCAAACATGTACAAGTGTTTCAACGTGAAACATGTTGCGTGAATAGTCGGTGTTTACGTGCATCACAAAAACATATTTTCTCAGGATTACCCTAATGTTCATATATAATCACTTGTTTTCTTGCTGCATATGTCCCGCGAAAGTGGATCAAATAGAAATGGACTGCGTGAAAAAAGGGTTGAAATACAAACATCATTGGGTATCCAAGGGTCCTGTTTCGAAACATTCCATTTTTTTTCCATGCTCAAATTTGGAGGGGCGGATTAATACAGTTGACAAATACCTGAGTTTCGCTCATGCCATGCCCGAAACAAAAATGATTCATGTCAGGGGTTTCACTCAAAATCATATCCCAGAAATGTGGAAAAACACAACCCTTTCGACTGGCCAATTTTGGCCGTTGAATTTTGAACCTTGGAACGCCTCGTGTGGTGGCCCATGGGTTGAACGTTGGATCCATTGGATGCTGACGTGTCGGGGCGACGCCCACAATGGTATCTCTGGATGATTTTGATCACGTCACTGCCCAAATGACCTAGCCTATTTAACGGAGATTGTTTGATGAACTCGCCGGAAATATTGGAGTGATTCATCAGGAAAAGTGGTTGGTTCATTAATTGATTCAGATTATCTCTTGGATATCGTAAACTTGATTGGGCTGATCCCATCCTCTCGTGGCCCTTAAGAATGCCACCATAGGTCGGGAGACAAAGTGAAAAATAACTATGGAATGTTCCGTCAAGGATTATTAAAATGTCATTTTTGGGGAAGGGAAGTACTTCCTTGTTCTGCGGAAAAACTACAAGCATTCAACATGCTGATCAGGTGTTAATTCTTATTGATTTTTTCATTTCTTCCGGCAAAAATCCATCATTTGATACCTTAATATTTTACCCTGGTTTTGAACCATTCCAAACCAACATGGCCCTGGCGATCAGCTGAGGTTTCTTTCCATTATCGCAAATTTTGGGTCGGGCTCTCACTTGCGATGTTGGTGGTGGTTATGTCGCGGCAGATGATCAAAAAACCCCTTCAACTTCGCTTAAGTGTGGCTGCGGACAGCAATTTTTCCACTGGAAATTCCTTGCAGAGTTGGTTGGACTTGGCCAACCTGTCGGTACCGCTTCAGAGCGTAACCAACGGGTTGACCACTTCAGCTGATGTGTTCCCTTCTGGTGCCTTGAATCAGCCACTTGGGGAGGTCACCAATGTCTCAGTGTCAGTGTCGATGCTGGACCTGCACGATGAAAAATTGACAGAATCCAACCAGCAGCCAACTCCCAAGCTGCTCCCAAGCTGGTCAGACCGGTCACACCGGTCACACCGGTCACACCGGTCACACCGGTCACACCGGTCACACCGGTCACAGGTCACCGTGGAACCAGGCCAGCCAAAACCGTGTTGCTACAGCGGCATCAGATGTCAAAAGACTTCCAAGACCTACAGTATCCTGTTTGAAGTGGCATTTTTTTCAGTTTTTTGCGATGAGAAATATTCCCAGTTTGAGAAAAAAATATTAAAAACAACATTGGTTTGTGGTTTGGATCACTCAGAGTACTATAAATTTACGGGGAAAAATATACTGTAGACAAATTTAGTTTCAGACAGGGTTTTGTTCTGAATTTTGGATGTCGGATGATACCTCTTGGGAATAACTTTGAAATATAGCCGGGTGATTTGTCAGCAGGAATCTACATCAGCTCCAACGGGCACACGATTTATGCCCCCATGGTTTCGACAGCGGTGGCAGGCTTAAAGCAGAGGCAGGCAGAGTGTGGATACGAAGTGAAGCGGGTGGTGGAGAGAGTCGTCCGTGGGCGCCATGGGCGCCTGAAATCTGTAATCTATCCAGGAAAATTCCATGCTGGCGATGTCTGGATCCATGTTGGGAAGTGGTTGCAGGCGGACTTCTTCCGACATTGCCAGGACTTAGCATTGAAACAAGTCTACTGCATCTTGTATCAGAGCGACCCATGGGACGTCACTGCGGGTCCGGGGGTTTGCGAGATATGGGAGTACACCCATGGCAACTCTCCCAAGGCCCCAGTGGTTCGCATTTTGCCCGCTGGCTTCTTGCCACTTTGGGGGCATGAGCAGAACGATCACGAAGCGATGAAGCGTTTGAGTGAATCCAATGTGCGGAAATTGGAGTGGGTCTTCATGGGACATATCGACAAAGGAAACAGGTCGAAGTGTTGGAATCATTTGAAGAACATGCCGGAGCTAAGTCATATGACCTTTACAAACCACATTCGAGGATTCACGCAGGCCGACTGGAAGAATCTGGCAAGGAAACTTGTAAGATCTTGTTTCTGCAGAAGTTTTGAGTTTTTAGTAGCACAAAATCAATTTCCTATATCTTTGGCTTCCGACCTAACTTTTGCGGCAGTGTTCTTTCCCGGAGAATTCTGGTAGGAAGTTCTCCAGTGCTTGTTGAAATTCCATCCAATGTCAGTTTCAGTTAGACTTCAGTGATTTGCGGCAAATTTGCTCCTTTTCTTTTCGCAAATCAGGACATTTTTTCTAGAAGCTGTATATATTTGGAGAACAGTGGCTTCCCATTGTGCTTCACCAGTTCGTTAAATCCCAAGTGGATGAAATCCCGATTGACCCGGCCTGGTAAACGTAGCCACATATGGAAAGATCCAGCAATTTCTAGCTGGGTAACTCAACTATTTCTATCAATTTTCAATGGCTATGTAACAAATTACCAGAGGGTAGATTTACCACACAATGCTTTATTCCCATGTCTGCATGGTGACCACTGCTGCTTAAATTTTCAATTTTTGTGATGGTTTGATCCTCATTTCTCTATGGTTCATTTCTTCCATGAAACACCCTTTATATGGTAAGAACCAAGCTTTCTTGATGGCTGAAATCCCCTCCTGTTGATGATTTGGAATGGGTCGATTATGTTTTTAATCCCATTTGTTGGTTAAAAAAATGTATTCCCAAACTATTTTGTTTTTCTCGATGTAGATCATCATGTGTTGATAGTTCAGATCCCCGTTTTCTCATGCTGTCAGGTTTAAATCCATTTTTATCAAACATATAGTTCCCAGCATTTCTTGGATGCTTCTAAAGCACCTCTCTGATGGTTTGATCCTAATTTCCCCATTTTTTGATGAACCTGGTCTCACCCTCGGTGGTATACCATTAGAATTCTCCCAGTAAACCAACTTGGCCATCAAAAATGATCTATCCCCATGTTTGTTCGTTATTTCATGTTTTTTGGTTTTTAATGAACTTTTAAAATGGAGTTTCTCATCCGTGCGGTCCTTACAACGAGGAAGCAGAACGTGATCTTTTTGAACCTCCACGGAAATTGCAGTTGCCTGCCCAATCCCAACGAGCGCCTGGAGACCGTGAGAATTAGCTCGGTCTTGAGCTTTGGAGCGCTTATGATCTCGGAACCCACCAATGACGCCGAGACCGAGAGCTTTAAGGTGATGGAAGTGATGATTTTGGCATCATTTGATGGGGAGTTACAGTAACACATGTAACAACAATTGGGGGGTTTACACAATACATTGGGCAAAGAAAGAGAAATGCGGAAAAAAGATGAAAAGGTAGGATTTTCGTGAGAAAATATGAGAATGATTGACTTGCCTTCGAAAGGTAGGATAAACAAAACGATCGAGCAAACCCAGTTGAATATGGGGATTGAACCATCAAGGAATAAAACACACAAAATGTAAATGTTCATTAAAAAAAATGGAGACTTAACCATCAATCAAATGGGTTTGTCGAAGCATCTGGGAATTTCACTGACTAAGCATTCGATGGTGATACTTTTTTGCATATCATTCATGGATGTTCATGGGATAGCCAACAATCTTAGTGATTGTCCAATAGTGGGGCATAACCCGAAAATGCAACTGGTACCTGGGGTTTGTAGGGAGACCACATGAGGACAGCTGGAAAAAGGGGGATAACACCATGGAAGTTGGATTTTGAGGTTTTTCGAAGAACATACAAGATTAGAACACAACCATCAAGAAAAGCTGATTGAAGAAAATAAAATTGATACTTTGACCATCGATATTGGGATTTGCCAACAGTAAAGGAGGAAGTTACCAAAGAAAAGATGGGTACTTGGCAATCATAAAATAGGCAATGAACCAACGATAAATGGGGATTAGCCACTCAAGAGATTCGAGGTCGACCGTGAATTAACAAGAAACATGGGGATTTGCGGTAACTGTCAAGAAATGCGGATTGCGCCAACCACAGATGAGGATTTATGATCAATTGATGGGGATCGAACAAAAAAAATGGATTTCACCAATCAATGAATAGGGATCTAGCTATCATAATGGAAGGATTTCACCAACGAAATCCATGGATCTTTGTCCATCAGCCGACATGGTTTTCACCAAGCACCGTTTTTCACATCGGAATCCAAGTATCACCAATTTTTTCTGCCGGGAGGACATTGTGATTTTTGAGAAGAACCTCTTTCTCAGCTACTCCGAATGGAGCCCCAAATTGAAAGATCTGCTGAGCAGCAATACCAAGATCATGGCGTTCCAGCGCCGCGCCTACGCCTTGTACAAAGAGAGGTTTGCTCCAGGAAAACTCGGAGGGGATGACCCTCCCAAGCCAAGACTCTGCGTTGTGGTTCCAGGTGAACAATAGAGATAGATTCAGATAGATCACATGTACAAAGTTATGTATTAAATATTACCGTATTTTGTGGGCATTTTTTAAAGGTACAGTAGATATTAGCTTGGTTGGCCCAACCAATGTCCTGGATTTTCATGGTCAATAAATGACAGTCGATTCGGTGGCTGAGGCGGCTTGCAAATGGGTTATAACTACCCCAAAATGCGTAGGGTGCCAAGAAAGGATGTCTACCAGTTCAATGAGCTTCACAAAAAAAAGCATGTAGAACTGGTAGGTGTCCAACAGGCAGGAATTGGCCCATACATTATCCCAGGACGCCTCCTGTCAGAGCAGAGAGTCTGGGACACAGAGCGAGGACCAGTCCACTGGCTCCTCATTTTCCCTATCAAACACTGGCAGCCACTGGGGCTACTCCGGGAAAAACCACATTTTCAGAGACCCATGCGGGAATTACTAGTTGATGATGGATGCCCCAATTCTAGGTTAACTTGGGTTTATGCTTGTATCTACAGTTGGATGGGGTTATATACACCAACAAACATAACTCGGCAGCCCCTAAGAACTGCAGATTGTGAAAAATCTTGGAAATCTTGGCAGGACCGAATTGCTCAGGCTGAGCAAACAGATGACCACAGTCGTGGAGGACCCAAGGTTTCAGCCAGGAAATTGCCTCAATTTGATCCCCAGAGTTTTCGAAGCATTTCGACTTACAGGATGTTGGGACCAAGAGAACTGCAAGTTTGGTTCCTCTTTGGCCGTGTGTTGTGCACCACAAAAACTCCGAGGTTTGGTTTAGTCATTTTAGTCAAGGACGTCTTGTTTGGGTTTCTAGACCCCTGGCGAAATCATCCTAGGGACGCGCTGCCAGCTTTCCTGTGCCTTAGATAGACCTGTTGTTGGGCCTGCGAGGAGTGGACGAAGTAGGTACATTTGAAGATTCAGCAGATCTTCGCAACAGTACTTCGGTGAAGCCCTGGTGCTTGTGAACTGAGGAGGAACCTCCAATGAAAAGCGGATGCGATGTCACTCTGGATGACTGGAATCTCAACTGAACCGCCCATGATACTGGTGATCTGGTGATGGGTACATGGTGTAGTCCCATGACCCGCGACCCTGAAGCGCTAGCACCACCGTCGTAGTGCGCAGCATGTAGCCAGAAAAGGGGAGAGACCACCTGGCTTCCTTGGGACACAGATGAAGGTCTGACAAGAGAAGTGACAATTCTGTCTTCGGGCTTTTTTTGGTTGAGATTTATCGAGGCTGAAACATAGGAGCATTTGGACGCCCCATCTGGTTTTGGGCACCACAACCTGTGGGGATCCCAATGAACCCTGGCTCGAAGAGGACAACACAAGCCGCTGAGCTGGCTCGAAGCCATCGGTTCGCATCACAAAGCATGGCCATTGGTTCAACAAGGATTTCCCAAGGGAGAACACCACAGATCTTCCACAGATCTTCCACAGAGTCCAGTCTTCCAGGGAATCCTTGATCTTTGCCCTCAAAATCTTTGATGTGTAGCCGGTGTAGCCCATAGATTTGAAATTTGCTTGACTCTTGACTGCAACCATCTCCAGCATACGGTAATAGCATGATATAGCATGTAATGGCAATACCACTAGAGTGCTGTAATCACCAACTGGCGGCAGGATGTCGTTTTCAAACCAAGGGTGGGACCATGAAGGCTTTGAAAAAAAAAATGTGGGAAACCCAAGCCATCTTGAGTTGATTTTGTGGCTGGGAAAAGTGCCACTGGGCCCATGATGGAGCGTCATGCGACGGTCCAACGGAGCGCCTCAAAATGTCGCCCGGCTCTGCTCTGGTTACCAGTTATGACAGTGGTTCCAGAGGATGATCTCGCCACAGCTTCCGAGGTCAGTCGCGCCCAGTCAAGCTGCGCAAGCTGCGATGTGGTGAAGGTTGCCTTTGGACTGGCCGCGCTGCTGAGCGTGCTGCTGAACTTTGCCGTGGTGCGCCGCTGGATGGTGGAAGAACTGGAGAGTCTGGTGGATGTTTCAAGGGAAAAAAATACACCGGGCATAGCTACTAGGTGAGAAGTGTGCTGGCAGGTGGTGCTATCTCCACTGTTTCAATTGGCTTGCGACCTGGAGGCTGGTGAACGTGGAAGAAGTTTGTGGGGGAATGGACCATCTTCAGATATCTTCAGCATACGTATTCTTGACCTTGTAATCCTATTTGAAATGTAGTTAGTTAGAGATCATTTGAATCCCTTTATCCTGCAATTTGACCATTCTGAACCAACTAATCAAAAAAAGGGGGTTAACCAAAAACGGACCACTGACTGCGCAAGCCTGTTTGACCTGTATCAATTGGCCCTATGCAACGTTAAGTGACTGTCAATTGCGAAAGGCTTGGGTATTTGGGGCGCAAGGGCTGAGACAAATCGAAACACGTTGCTAAAAATTGTTTCTAGTTGTTGGAAGGGTGCAGATGCACCACCCATGGCTTCACATTGTGTCAAAAAGATTGCAACTGGGCCTTTTGGCTTGATATGAACTATATAATATTATATAATCATATATAATCTTGTTGAGTAGTTCTGGGTTGTTAAGTTGTTTTTTGAGGCATCAATCAAGAGTCGGCCGCAACAAACGTATGACGCCAACGAACCACCACTCAGATTGTTCATGGCACCACAATGAACAGCTATCAGTCCGTGATAGTTGCTATTGGCTATTGTATCAACGGTATACGCTGAGAACTGAGTTTGTTTGAAGATAGGGTAGCCAAAACATCCAATGGAAGATCAAGGCTTTTCTCAATCTGCGGCGAGCCGTTCATGGACTCCCCTGTTCACTCAACAAACTCGCTTAATTTCTGGATGTTCATCCAGTCTGAAGAAAATCCTACTGTTGATGGGAGAAATCCTGCACCACCTTGGATGGTTGAAACCCTATAAATAGTGGGATAAACCATCTATCAACTGGTGCAGGATTTCTTCCATCCACAGTAGGGCTTTCATCACTTTCATCCCCATCCCCAGGAGCCTGGCCGAGCGCCACGGCCGCCACGGCGTTTGGCCGAACACCTTGGGCCTGGGCGCGGGCGCGTCAGCGAGGCGGATTGTGTGGTGATTTCATGGAATCTTATGATGATTCGGATTGGGATGTAACCAACAAGAGATGTTTTTATGGGAAATAGCCTCTGGTAATTTGACATATCTATGGACAATGGCCAATTTATAGATGATTTACCTATTAAAAGTGGCAATTTATATGTCGTCTTTAGGATCTGAAACGGGGTCAATCATTTGTGACGCGGCTGGCAACGGAAAATCCTCCATGTTTTTCTCAATATTCGTAGATCACAACTTTCCATGAAAAACGGGGTCAATTCTGCCAGGTTAGATAAAAACACCGCGGGTATCTGATGGGAAACTGATTTTCCAAACCTACTTACTCTGTCAGGTTCCATGTGAGTCTTGAGGCTAGTTATGAGGTTCAAAAGGTGAAGCTGGACCCTGTCCGATTTCAGGCGTGGTCCTCTCTGGAGCCCGTCGACTTTGATTCGCTGCGGCTGCTTCCGAACAGTGTCTGGGAGCCCAAGAGGGTTTGAGCCCATGATTCTTGTTGCTTCAAGGGATCAATCCCGGTGAATCACCATAAAATCCGATTAATGTATATTAATGTTACCACACAATCCCATGAAATCCAATTTTTCAGGATTTTAGAGGGAAATGGATAGAAAGGGGGATATGACCCAACTCTTGTGGCAACCGATTCGGAGAAATAGACTGCGTTCTGTTGAGTATCTCACCAGACTGGGAAAAAGCAACGCCACCTGACAAAACACGAACCAAAACCCGTCTGATTCCATGGAAATTCTGCTACGAGTGGATTATATAGTTCTCAATGTTGCCAACTGTTTATTGCTTGTTGACATCCTGGAATTCTTCTCGAAGTAAACTCCAGGTCCGTCCAGGATCGCCTAACTTTTATAATCAGAAAGGTTCCCCGCAACTGGTGAGTTCATTTTGATAAGAAAAAGGTCCTCATACCTGGTTGGTGATACACGTATATATATATATACATATTATATATATATATATATACGTTGTGGGTTATATAAATGTTTTATGAATTTTGTTATATATATATAATATACATATTTATCTATGTAATGGGTTATATTAATGTTGTTTCCCAGCATCTCCAAGGGATCATCCATGGGGGTGTCTAAAGTCATCCCTTTCTTACGATCGAGGAGTTAGAAGCCGCAGCGCGGAAAGCGCCGCGGTGGCTCTTCTTTGGCCTATCGTCAGTGCATCGAAAACAAGCTGTGCCTCGGATGGATCGTAGCAAAAACACCTGGGGAAAGGATGGGCCATGATGGCTTTTTCAGCAGCAAAAGAAAAGCGTGTCGCACGAAGAATGGTGGTTTTTCCATGTTGTTGAAAAAACTATGGGGATTTTTAGGCTGACATGGGGAGTGTTATTTTGTCTCTCATGAAGGATAGCAACACAACAAGAATTGTACCAGCTACATCCACCAAAACTTGGCTCGGTAGACCATCCCATTGGGGCCCTTGAAAGGCCCGGTTTCAATCGTCACTGACGGTGCCCCGCCTGTCGCAGGAATACCTGGGTATCACGCTGTCCCATTTGTTCGACGCCTTAGGCGAATCTACGGACACAGGTCGAGGGGGAAACCTGACCGGGAGAGCTTCCCACTCCACAAATGGATAAACACACGAGTCAATGACTCATAGAATTTTGGCGAATTTTGAGTGCATCACCATTTTTCATTGAACACATAGAATATACATGACCTAGTGGGAAGAACAGAAAAGCTGGTTTTGCCTATGGTGTTGAGATGCTGGCAATTGAAAGGGATTTCTTCAAATTTGGGTGTCATCTTTCAACTGACCCTTTCACTGCGGCCTGGCGCAGGTCTTGTGGTACACCTTGCGGATTTTGATGAAAATTGGGTCAGTAGCATAGTTTTTGTGGATCTCCCGGAGCGTCACTTTAGATTCGCTTGGCGGGTCCTTCTGCACGAAGTTTTTTTGGCGTTTTTTTCACAGATTGTCATCCGCAAGCACATTGAACAACGGCCGAGGTGTTCCAAAGTCGAGATTGGCTAAGAAATGCTTTTGAAGATGAAGTGCAGGCGGTGTTGACGTGAATATCATCGCAGCGTATGTGGGTGACTTTTTCGGCTTTCCAGATCATCGATCAACACAAAGGGTGGATTTCCAGGCCAAACTGTGTTTATATAGAATTATATATATAATATATATATATAGATCCAGTTTGTTTGGAACTATATAGTATACATAGATATAGATACAGGTATATGTATACATACACACACATGTATATATATATAAATATGTATATATTGTTTATATATAATCTAATATGTATATGAAGGACTACAACACCGATAAAGCCCAATCGAATCCCTAGCGTCTCCATCTGGGAAGGCCAATCGCCTTCACGTCATCCACGCACCGGAGCGCTTGTACCCGGCCAAAGAGCAGGCTGTTGGGGTTGAAATCTGTCACGGCCCTTATGGTTTGTAACATTTGTAACTTATACCTATCATAAGGAGATACTAAAAATCATTGACACAAACCCAAAAAGGTAAAGATGATGACGCAACAACACTTATGGTTTATTGTATAACTTATGTATATACTGAAACACAGCAGTTTATAATGAAAACTGCCCATTTATAAGTTGACAAAAAAAAATGGCACCTCGTGGCCCAGATCATGAAAAACACCAAGTATGGCGATCCACCCTTGAGACAGTGGTGGCAGGGAGCCTCAGTCTGCACATCCATGGAGATTTCAAGACACAGTAACGGTGGAAATATGCGGAGACGCCCAATGTGGAGGGGATACCAAGTACAGTTTTAGACGGCAGTGAAAATGTCATGTCACTAAACTGTCACTAGCTCCTGTTTCTCTGAAGTGGGGTACCCCTAAAAGGACCTTTCTGTCCTTTTTCAGGACAGCCCCACCTCCATGAAGTTGGGAAACACTACCCGACTAGCCGACTACCCGACTACCCCGTACAGTTTCTATGGTCACCTTAGGCGAGCGAAGCAAAACTTAGATTATGCCTTTCTCATGTGGCCTGCTTCTCAGTGGGCAATCTGGTGTCGATTGGGACTTGTTGATAGCAAAAGATTGGCTAGAAACCCACTGAGCCTCAGTTTTTTTCTGGCCGTTTTGACATCGATTGTGATAGTTTCCATGCCAACACAATTGGTACTCTAAAGATCTATGTTGGAATGGTTACACTATGTTCATATTCATATAAACATGTCAACTATGGGATAGTTTCCATATCAACATCAGTTCTAGTTTCCATTCCTTCAAACATCTAGCGCCGTTCCTCAAAAATCGTCGCAGGTATGCCTCAGGCCTGGCCAAATACTACATGCAACTGGAAGATGATGTGCAGGCAATGGGGGACACTTTTCAGCTGGAAAATCATAGGAAGAACATGAGTTTTCCCATAGGAAAGGATAGGAAAACCTCGGGAAATCTCGGCTTCGCCATGGAGGTTGCTGGGATCGAAGTAATGGGGGAATGGTCCAGCTAGCCACTTTTTTTACAGAGGAGGCGAAGCCTACTAGGCTTCCAAGCAACGATTCTGTGATTGTGTGATTGGTGAAGAGTATCGATCCTCATGGCCTCAGACTAAAAAAAATGATGTGGGATGAACTCGTTGACTTACCAGCAATTTTTTTGGGGTCAACAAGACAAGATACCAGCATATTAACCCGTACACATATTCATTGAGCCTGTAAGAAAATTGTTGGAAATGGGCCAGACACTTTGCGATTTGGGCGCAGCTGAACTGACACCAATTGTGTGGAGAAACCTAATCAAGACCCACACAATTTGAACAATTTCTTCTGAGTCATGGTGATTTTGCCGGAATCTGGATAACAGCCCCTTGGTTTCACAATGCCTTGTTTAGAATTTTGACCACAGCGCAAGTGGAGTTCATAGGTCAAAATTTTTGATCTTTGCCAAGGCTTGTTGCAAGCAGCAAATCGTGCTGGCTTACATCCTGATTTGTATCCCAAAGTCCGCCATCCCTTTGTGAGTTAGTTGGCATCACCGTAGCCTCTGTGGCAGAGGTGACTCCGAGCTTTCTCCCAACGGTCCGGAGGTTCATGAACGAGTCGGCAGCTGAGAAATCCGGGCCGGCGAAGTTCGGGTGTCGTAGGGCCCAAGGTGGCCGTCCAGGGAGTTCACCAGTGCCTTGGCCGGTGCTTGAAACTAAGAATTGATATGTAAGGCCCCCGGATTTATTCAGTGGCCAAACAAAATATACATGACCCCTGCCCCACATTAAAGTTCAATAATCACAATATCCACATATCGCCACGTTGTGGCTTTTTCGGTGGCTTCACCGTGCCGAAAAATCCAGGAAGGTGACGGGCGACGCCTGGGTGATGGCCGCCTTCTCGAAGCTGGGCTTCATCGGCAAGCTCTTCGATGCAGCCAGGTCTATGGCCTGGGGATGGCCTGGGGATGGTTTGGGGATGGGATTTTTATAGGGTGAAATCGCCAAAACGAGTGGAAAAAACATGAAAAAACAGGGAGGAATAGGGGGGATCTGATCAATCTGATCAACAGAATATCAAGAGAAAACGAAAACGGATGCGTCCGCCGATCAACCGACCTGGGAGGCTTCCGAAATTGGCAGAGTTCCTGTTGATCTACCATGCTGAGGCATCAGGGGTGAGATAGGTGACTGCGGGAGTCGGTTGATTGTTTGGTCACTTGGTGCACTATCCGAACAAAGGAAATTCAAAATAGGTTGAGTTTGAAGCTCATCTTTGTTCAAGGAGAGCCCTGCCTGCCTCTGTCACTCCGTTTGTCTATCCACCGATCTCCATCCATTGGACCAGCTGACCCTTCGCGACCGTGGCAGCGAAGGCACCTTGCGATTGGTTGGTGTGGATCTTCATCGATGCTGCGTGGGAGCTTAATGACGTGGCGCAATGGCTATGGCTGATTTGAATCCCCCTCTAGATCAAAGTATGCTAAAGTATGATCCTGCATGAAACCAACGGGAGAGAACTGAGTTGCGATTTTCGAATATTTTAGATGTATAAGATGGAAAGTATTTGATTTGGTGATAGATGTCATATGTAGAACCTGAGTTTCCTGCGAGATACCAAGGCCTCTTCGCAACCAGTGACTGCCATGATCCCCCAGGCAGGGTCAAGGCCTTTGGGGTTCCAGAAATCCATCATTTCTGGGCTAAACAACCATGACTCTTGGGGCTAAAAAGGCATGGTTTCCTGTGACATTTTTTGACAAGTTGGTTGGGATCTTTTTTTTTTCCCGGCCGAAATGCAACTAGGTTTTTGCCCAACTTTAAGGCCATGACGGTTAGCATGAGATTTTGTGAAGGGCACCGGGTTGGTTCAACCATTCTCGCCTCAGGATTTGGAGGATGAATTCAACCAGCGCGAATCTGCCAAGAAGAACCCCAACGCACGGTGCCTTAAAATGTTGCGGAACCACCATATCTAAAGGTTTTTTTTGCATATTTTTGCGTCATCAAGAATAATTTTGCCTGATATGATGTCAACCCCGGATGAATAACCCCCGAAAAAAAGGCTGTTATATGGGGAAGAACACTCTCCATCAACCAGGGTTCATCAATCCTTCGTTGACATCCCTGCAGCCATTCTCTTGGCGTGTCGGCCATTGCGGCCATTGCGGCCATTGCGGCCATTGCAAGAGTGTTCAAAAAGGGCCTTTTGGAGCGAAACGGGACCTGCATTGCTGGGAATATGATTGAAATTAATGATTTCACATTTGCTTGAATTCTATAACCTTGGAATCGACAGAGATAGACATAGAAACCTTTTCTTTTTGAATCAATTTTGGGATGCTGGTCTCCCATGTCGGTTTGGACCGGTGTTTGGTTTGAAGATTGGTTGTCTTTTTGAGCTGGCTGAGGTGAAGTTGCCCAAAGCCATGAGGAGAGGGAGCTATTGTGACCTTCTTGTTTTGGCAATCAGTGTTTGTCACTGAGAGTGTTTGACATACAAAGACAGACAAATGTTATAATCTTCATACTATCTATATATACTGATATACTATATACAGTGTATATATACAGTGTGTATATATATATACACATCTATATTTGTCAGGGTTTTACGTTTTTGACAATGACAAAGTTAAGTGTGACGATACATTTCAGCGAAGTGTCATGATATTTGTTAGGTTTTCGAGAAGGGTTTACCTTTTTTTTTGGTGTTTCGGGTATTTTTCAAATCTCCAGTCGAACTTTCAGTCTCCATATGAAAAACTTATGGTCATTTGGGTGTTGGGGAGGGTGGCTCGAGATCTGAATGTTGGTTTGGCTCGAGAGAATAACAGAGTCAACACCTTTACTATGTCTCGCAAAAATGATGTAAAATGGGTCCATTCGATGCTTGTCCGAACAGGAAATGATCAGCCATAACAATCTACAGCTGGAAGGGGCTTGAACTTTGACCGCATCCCAGGCTGCCAACTGCAGCTTTTGAGGGTTCGCTCCGAAGGACCGATGTCTTGTTGTACTACAAGGATAAGAAACCAGCATGGAAGCTCAAGGGTTGAAAGGCTTGGCTACTGTCGAGATGATCCTCCCTATGGCCCGATGGTTGCAGGTGGCTAGTTCCCCTTGAGATTCTGTAGAGAAGCTGGACTGAACCCAGAATCTGATCAGAACCCAGGCATGGGAGAATCACTCAGGAAATCAGGATGACCGTGGGATGATTATCCCCCGAAATCCCTGGCTGTCCCCGACAGCGCAAAAACAAAGGTCTTTCTGTCCCCTCCAGTGCCAGTGTCACAGAAGGTCACCGTGGCGCCGGGGCTCCGAGTCGGGTGCTTTTGGGACCCAGCAGACAAATGGTTGGCCAAAAAAGATACAGTCAAATTTGATCACAAGAGGTTTTTCGGGGAACATTGGGATTAGACCAAGCTTAGGATTAGCATTAAAGTTAGGACTTCAACAAAGTTAGGATGAGACAATTCTTCCACCTTTTTACAACCAGCCGGCTGCCCCGCTGCTCCTTTAGGCCCACCCCATTGGAGAATACGCCGGCGCCGCCGCCGCCGACGTCTGGCGGGTGGGGTGCCCCAAATGGGGATACCCTCGGAATGAGAATTTTGATAGGAAACCAATGGTCAAGCAGTGGATGGAATGGGGTTTTCCCCTGAATCATGAGACACACCCAACTCCTGTAGAATTTTGTAGACAAGGTACGACAAGTTCAACTGCCCTGCTAAGCGTCCGATGGATGGTCAAGTCGAACCCCCTGTGATTTTCCAAGCACCATGTGTCAATGGGGGTAGACCCCCAAATAGCAATTTGGATATTGAACATGATTCTAGACCATTTTTTTTGGGTAGCCTATTTTCAGACAGACCTATGCCGGTGATCTTTCGAGGGTTTCTGTGTTTCTTTGGCCTTTGAACAGCACACAGCACCCATCACTGGCCCCAGGATTCCAAGCGCTCGGGTCTTTAGCACCATGCAGCATTATCAGCAGTGCGCCAGTCGTGGAGCCTCGAATTGGCATCTTCCAAAATATAGTTGAATGAGATAAGGCCCCAAGGCATTTAAGCAGATTTTCTTGACAGAGTTTTCCCTTAACTAATCACTGGATGAAGAAAAGGATCTAGAACATGTGTTTGAGACTTGTTCGATGTGTACTTTTGTTGGATGACTCAGGTAGCCCTGTTATTTTTTTGGGTGAAAATACATCATTTGCCAAGGCTTTAGTAAAATCCGCAGATGGCTTCGTCCAAAAATGGAGGATTGAACTGAATTTTGATGGCCGTCAAACATCAGCAACTGGATGGGGGCAATTCCTGCATTTTTTTCACGACTTTGCAACGAGTCCAACATTGGTCCCAGAAGTCAAGTCACTTCCTATCCACATATATATATACATATATATATATATACAGTGACAAACCCGAAAAGAAGAATCGACTGAGCAATTTGTTGCAAGTCTAACAAATTTTCACCCTGCGCGGCATCCGCGCTGATCTCAAGCGCAAGTCTCGCTGGTGCCGAGGGGAACCAGGACCTTCACATTGCCAAGAGGTAGGAAGCGTTTACTGACAGATAAACGATTGAATCCCGAGCAGATGGCAGACTCTCGATTGTCGTGCATCTCGATTCGATATCTCCAGCTCAAAATGTTAGACACATGCACATTTTGTGACCGTTCTCCCAAAGATTAAACATTATTGATTGATCACCTAGATTATCAAATGATAATATAGATTATTAGTAATTATTAGTTGATAGTTGATAGCCTAGTTGATAACCTAGGTCACCTAGATAACCTAATTGATACCTAGAACCCAAGATACTATCTTTCTGTCACCGCGCCGCCATCGCACTCCCCTGGGCCCCGCCTACGATGCCGGTGATCGAGGGTCTGGGCCGGCTCTTGCTGCCCGAAGCTGATGCCTCTTTCGCGGACGCCACGCAGGCACGAAACATGTGGGCGAAGGCAATATTTTTAGCACCATGGTTACCATGCCCATGTTTTGAGTTGTTTGTGTCACCGTGTCACCATTCTATTCATATTTGACTCATAGCCATGTTCGCCCCCCTTGTATCCAAAGGAGTCGCCCGCAAAAGTGGGACACGTGGCATCCATGATTGAATCCTTTCAGAAGAGCGAAGGTGCCGTTGCACGGTGCAGGGGTGGTTTCGTGGTGAGGGCTAACATCCTCCAACTAGACTTTGTCATGAGTTGGGGGAAGACTAAGCACTTTCCTCTCAAGACCAGTGATTTTCAGGGTCTATATGAAATTGCTGGGGTGAAATCATCCAGTAGGGCCTGGTGCTTGGTGATGAGTCGGTAGAATTTAAGAAAATTGATTTGTTAGCAACCCAGACTGAAGGGATGGGGATCTAAGCTCTCTTAAGCGGAAGCAAGCAAGACATTGTTGGTCAAAAATTTGGTTTCGATGTTTTTTTTCAAAAATCCCCATGGTCAGGGGGTGCTCCAAGCTATTGTACACGATAGCCACAAGGGGAGGGAAATTGGTAGTGCCAGGTGGTCAGTCGGATTGCTCCCAGTCGCCTTGCCGCAAAAAGACGACCACATCGGGGCACTTTCGAGATGGCAGCGTCCGGGCCGAAGACATCCTGGAGTTGACCAACAGGCTCCTGGGGTTGGGATTAAGGGATCCAGAAGGTGGGAGCTGGTGGAAATGAAGACATGGTGGTCATTGGTGACGAAATTTGAAATGGAGGAATGGAATGTGGGATGTGGGTTACAACTGCGGGTGAGGTGTGCCTTAGGCAGCCTGGAAGTGTGGATTGACAGTGACACCCTCATGTTTTTGCACTTCAAGAAGCTGTTGTTGTTGTTGATGATGACGATGATGATGATGATGATGATGATGGGTCGTGGGTCTCGCTAGTTGGCCGTTGGCCGCTGAGATTCGCTCTACCCAAACTCGTCTGCACAAGGACTTGGACGATTCGGCCCTTTTTTGCGCCGTGAATTCCAATCATATTACCATGATATATTAAGTAAATGATGATGATGATGATGATGATGACGATGACGATGACGATGATGACAACGATGACAACGATGACATTGACAACATCGACAATGACTACAATCATGATCATACCGATATATCACAGGAGCACCTTCATAGGAACAGTCCAAAAATCACGTCCGTCCTCCGTCAACCCCAACCCAGCC